TCTGAACCAAATTTCAAATAAAATCCAACTCAAAGGGTGATTAGCAAAAAACATCCCTATCATTTGAACTCATTGCAGAAATAGTCCATATCGTTTCAGACTTGGCATTTACACCTTCATTTCAAATATTTTTTGCGGAATTGGTCTTTTTCGTCATGTTTCATTTAATCCTTACGTGAAATATGGGAATGGCTTAGAACATCCATTTCTCTTTTCTTCATTGTGCAAATCATCATTATCATTTCAATTTTGACATTTGGGCAATCAGATTGACATTTCTTTGTACAAAAAGTCCTTACCGTCCATTTTCTCCATTAAAACATTGTAAAATGGCTAATTTTCCATACTCTCTAAATAAACAAATAGAAAAAGAAGAAATAATATAAAAAATTACATTTAGAGTTTCAAGTTTTTTAAAAAGTACAAACTAGTTCATGTAAAATAATTTAAAATATTCTAACAAAATAAAATTATTTTATCTTCCCAATTAACATACATATCCCTACCCCAATGCCCAGGGCCGGTCCTGTGATTTTCGAGGCCCGAGGTGAACTCCATAAATTAGGCCTCCCAAAATTAACGTAAATAGTTTCAATATAGTTACTGCATGTGTCTGTGCAATTGATCCTACAATAGCTATTCATATAAGCTGACCAGGCCACATTTATATACACCGACAAGGCTTCAAACATTTTTAATATATTCAATAATGAGTTAGGGCAAACCATCGCTTACTTGAGAAGCAGAATTTCAACGAAAATTATGGAATTACACCCTTGATAATTCCACAATCGATCACATCTCACAAGCCCATAGTCACATCTAATCGTGCATCATTTCAATAACATATAACGAACTACACACAATAACATGAACATAGAACACTTTTAGCTAAACTACACACATTACAAAAATTATCTTATCATTTCAATTCCAAGAGTGTCGACATGTGAGCATTTGAAGAACTTTCAAGACCTTGGAGATGCCAAGAATTTTATGATCAAATAGGAAGGGATTATCAAAACCTACATAGAACCTAGAAATGAGCTTAAATATAAAATTGAGCAGTTGAACTTGAAAATTTCAAATGTAATTCCATTCAGCAAATTTTTCTCAACTATTTAATTAACTCTAACAAAACCCACTAGAATTATTCACAAAAGGGAACTGCAATCGTGCAAAGTTCAATCAACGAATTTTCCAGTGTGCAATTTCTGAACTATCATCTACATGAAGAAATTCAGAATTAATTATTTTGGGTAATTATAAGCCAGAATGACTGGAAATGAGTTCCCTTTTTTTTTTAATCCTGCGACATCAATATGACGAATTGAAAGATTAGAAGGCAAATTATCCCGCAAAAGCCCTTAATTCAGGTAATTGTGGGAAAAAAGATCACTTATTTTTGCCTTTTGGGTTGAAGTTTACCGTATATTATGTAAAAATGTGCTATTTTCAAGAAGGTGTAAATTGAATTCTTAATTACAATATTTGTGCTTCTGTTAATCAGATGATGTTGATTTTACTTCAGAGGAGAAAAGACCAGACTTTTACGTTGAGTAATAACAAAAAAAAAATAAAAAAATTACCTGTTCAGAATCAGACTCATCACCATTGTTATCAAACTGGCTGTAGTTAATCCAAGGTCTATGAAACTGGCGGAAGTAGCAACAGAAGCACAGTAATGACTGGTCGACGGTCGACCTTGACTAGCGACTCGCGCGGTTAGGGTTGAAAAAAGGGCCGACTGATTTTTTCTCTATTGTTTTGAAATGTGAATCTTGTGAATTGTGATTTGTGAAAGAGTGAAGGAAAAGGGAAGAACTGGAGGAAAAAAAAGGGAAGGAGAGTAAAAATTTCCATTCGATTCAATTAGAATGAAGGAAAAAAAAAAAACTTGGGCCAAAAATGAGGCCCCTCCAGTTTTGGGCCGCCTCGCCTCCGGACCGGGCCTGCCAACGCCCATCACCACCAACACCACCACCACCATCATCAAAATAATTAAAAAGAGAATCAAAAGTTAGAAAAAAGTAAGAAAAAAATTAAAATAAAAAAACAAAATGGTACTTCTTCATCATTTGTATCAACTGAAAGCCTCATCATTTTCAATTTACAAAGGACTAGGAAAGTGGTTTTAGCTCTGATGTGTAATCCAAGTATAAGAAAATATACGAGGAAGATATTAATCCCTTTGAAGCATTTTCAAAGAAGGTGGCCAATATTTATTACTGACGTTTTACTTATTCTTCTTCATTTAATTACTTCTTTTTTGGTCAATTTACTACTTTTACAATATGGTTTTATTTGCTAGGTCTTCTATTTTATTTTCAGATATTTGGCATGTTGGAATGAAGTTTTTACTGCTATCCACACCACTACTTGAATTTGGAACATCAAGAAGTAATCATTTTAAATTGCATAGATTGTTTTTGGAGAAAATGTCAGCATATTTGTATAGTTATAATGCTTCCAAATTGGGTGCTTGTATCTGTTCTATTGAGTAAAAATGCTTCCATTAGATATTTTTTCTTTACTAATCATATGTGGGAAAATACTTATTATAAAAAGTTAATTTTTATCAAACTTTAATCAAATACTTGGATGGGTCCCGCTATTCAAATATGACGAATAATGGGTTGATCATATTCTACTCGTCGAGTAGTTGAATTTGATATATTTGGACGTCGAAAACAATTTTCGGATGAATGAGAAATTAGTGAACGAAGTAGGATTAAAAAAACGTGATTTTTGAATGAAATAATTGGATTTTATATATATATATAAGACCACCATTCGAGAGGCGACCTAGTGCTAAGCAAGCGGTGAGACTCTGAAACGAGCATTCGTGCGGCACAACTAGCACAAAGCAAGGTGTAGTCAACCTGTGTAACTTTTGGTGAAATAAGTTGATTTTTGGGTTGTGTCTTTCCAGTTGCAACCCATCAACCCCTATAAATTGAACCCTTATGTGTTGGTTTCATTCACTTCTATTTTGTGCAATGAAAGCAAATCATATAACATCATTTCCTAGCCAAAATTCTACATCAAAAGCATTTGTTTCACATTCCAAAATAGAGTTCATAACTTGTTTCGGTTTGCTGTTTCTTGTGTTTTGAAGTGCTGCAAACACAAGAATTTGATCGTTGTATCTTACGAGACGATTTCCATAAACCAAAAGGCACCTGTATGCTGCAAATTTGTCTTAAGGACAAAGAGTTCAACTATTACCTTGATCCTCTTGTATTTCAATATTATTCTGTCCAACCTTCCATTTGATTATGAGTACGTATTGGTAAGTTTGAATTACTATAATCTTAAGATGATTTTTTTCTTAAGTGATTTCTTTATTAAATTTCCATTATATTTGGTTAAATTGTATTTCATTCTCGATTTAAATTTTCTACTCTTTCATGGTATTAAACTTGATTTTGTTTATCTTTTGTTTGTGTATCAGGAATGACTACCATTAATAACAATACAGCTGATGTTACCCAGGTCACTTCAGTTGTTGCTCCTCCGGTTTCGGTTCTCCCTGCCATTCATCTAACCTTCGTTCCACATGGAGAAAAATAAAAAAATCTAGTGGGGTTGACTTCAAAAGATGACAACAAAGATGTCGTTTTATCTTACAACCTCAATTTGGCAAAATTTCTGATTGAGAATGGACCTAATGTACAAGAAATGGAAAATAATAGGGTATCATCGATCGTATTGGGTGCTTGGAAACATTCAGATTTTGTATGCAGGAATTACATTATGCATGACTTGGACAATACGATATGCAATGTGTATAGTTTCACGAAATCTGCAAAGGAACTTTGAGAATCCTTGGAGAAGAAACATAAGACTGAAGAAGTCAGAACAAAGAAGTTCATCATCGGAAAATTCTTGGATTACAAGATGATACATTCCAAGACAGTTATTTGTCAAGTACAAGAATTACACGTTCTTCTCACTACAACAAAAAGGGCCTACGGCAACGCGCGAAAAACGTTGCCATAGACTTTTGGCAACGTTCGTGTGCACGTTGTGGGCTTCGATGTCGCCGTAGAGTGCCAACTTTCTGCAACGTGCATTGCACATTGCCGTAGACACTTTAGGCAACGTGCAATGCACGTTGCCGTAAGTCATTTTACATTTTTTTTTAAAATTCTTTTATTTGTATAATGATTNTCTATAATGAAGAAGGAAGCATATAACCAATCAGAAGTAACCCATTAGGGTGTTTCCCAAACAGCAAGTGCTTCAACTTGCATGGTCTGTTTACATCAAGTCACAAAAGTACTAAATTTAAAGCAACTCCATTGACTTTATAGCAAGTCAGACAATTTACTTTCGTTCGTTAAAGCACCTAACAGGAATAACAATTCCATCGACTTGACGATAGCAATCCTGTATGGATATATATAGGATATGGTTAAAATCAATCTGAGATGAATTCCTATACAGCAAATGTTAGATTATTCAACTAACCAGGTATCAATAATCAATGGCAATTAAGATGCAATTTATTTTATAATCATACTCAAGGTATTGCACATATGAAGGTACGAAACACAAAAAATGTAATCCTTAATTCAATCTCTCTTGTGATTAGGAGATAAATTAAATTAACAAATATAGAACATAACAAACATCATTACATTAAAAGCCTTAAGATTTTCAAATGAATAAGAAGGCTATACCTTTACGTTTCTTAATAGGACCCTAAAAGGCCTTCTAAGTTTTAAAGAACAACACAATCTTTGATGGGTTTCAAAGAAATCAACACTACACCTTAAGCCGCATATGAAATAAAGAAGCCACGTCAATGCCAGTTATGTAACTCAAAAGCCCTTGCTGAACAAATATTCAACGCCACAGACCAAAGTGCAAGAAACCACAACTAAGGAACGGTGGTGCTGGCTGTTGGAATTCCAACTCGACAGCACAAAGAGGCATACCTTGGCAATCTTGATTTCATCCTCGAGTTCATGAAGCCTATTATTTATCCAGCTCTTCTATCCCTTGCCCCTTCTGATAAACCCGCATAAAGCCTCAAACTCAGTGAGTGCCAAAGCTATCTCAGGCTTGTGATTGTCATCCTTATATATGTCTGGCTGTTGCTTATGGAGAACTTCAGCCAAAAGCTTATGTGGATGAGCCAGTGTTGACAATGGCTTTGCCACTGAAAGCACCTTAAAAACACCAATTTGACAAAAATCCACTAAGTAAGACTTATAATATAGATGATTATGCCCAATATTTGCAGTAAATAAGTAGATAACATCTAATATACATGTCCAAATTTCAAAAAATACCAAAAGGAAAAAAAAGTCCCATTTTCAAAGAGTAAAATGAACGTCTAAAATGATGATAGTCAGAAAATGACTTTCCCAAAAGAAGTGACATGAGAATAAATTCCTCGAAGATCAATCCATAATTCGAGCAGGATTTATTGGCGAGCATACCTTGAAGAGAAAGGGGAGACTGGGGCCCCATTTCTGCAAAACCTTATCACCAATTACACAGGGGTTTTGCTCAGTCCAATCCTTCAAATTCACTGAATTACACCTATTACCACTACGTACCATGACTCCCATTCGGCCTCTATTCTCTTCCTGACCCACCACCACCTGCGCCACCACCGCGTAGGAGGGCCCGGACTCATGGGTCCACCCCATAAATATTCATTTGCTGAAAATACAATGATTTAGGGGAAAACCCTAAAACCTACCGGAGACGGAGAACTCGGAGTCTCCGGAGAACTCGGAGAACCCGACTCGCCGCGGTTCGTGGAGAGAAGAAGAAGAAAGTGGTGGAAAGGAGGAGGAGAAGGCGGTGGAGAGGAGAAGGGTATCGCGAGAATGAAGCGAGATCAGGGTTAAGTGAAAGACAGAATGACTACCCAAGAGTCAAAGTTGCTTTTATTCGGTCCTTTTTGCTCACCCAAACGGCGTCGTATATAAGGGATTTTTAATAAAATAAAATAAAAAATAATGATTAATTAATGGCAACGTGCAATGCATGTTGCCAAAACTATTAATGGCAACGTTCATTTGAACGTTGCCAAAACTACTAATGGAAACGTGCATTGCACGTTGCCTAATGCACGTTGCCAAATCTATTAATGGCAACGTTCATTTGAACGTTGCCAAAACTAGTAATGGCAACGTGCAATTGCACGTTGCCATTAATTAATCTTTTCTGCTGTCTAGAATTCTTTTCTTCCTGAACTTTCTGCTTGGCAGCAGCATCATGTTCTGCCACCAAGGGAAAAAACAGGTTTTATATCAGCAACACTGTTAATTCCATTATTTAAAAAAACTCTAATATTACTACATATATCATCTCATATTCAGAATTTGCAAAATTGACAGGCATAGCATGCTCTGGTTCCAAAAAAAGACGTTGCAGGGGGGTGTACATTAATATTTGCTGCTTCATCCTTACATTAATATTTGTTGCTTCATGCTCTGGTCTTGGCTGTTGGAATTCCAACTCGACAGCACAAAGAGGCATACCTTGGCAATCTTGATTTCATCCTCGAGTTCATGAAGCCTATTATTTATCCAGCTCTTCTGTCCCTTGCCCCTTCTGATAAACCCGCATAAAGCCTCAAACTCAGTGAGTGCCAAAGCTATCTCAGGCTTGTGATTGTCATCCTTATATACGTCTGGCTGTTGCTTATGGAGAACTTCAGCCAAAAGCTTATGTGGATGAGCCAGTATTGACAATGGCTTTGCCACTGAAAGTACCTTAAAAACACCAATTTGACAAAAATCCACTAAGTAAGACTTATAATATAGATGATTATGCCCAATATTTGCAGTAAATAAGTAGATAACATCTAATGTGCATGTCCAAATTTCAAAAAATACCAAAAGGAAAAAAAAGTCCCATTTTCAAAGAGTAAAATGAACGTCTAAAATGATGATAATCAGAAAATGACTTTCCCAAAAGAAGTGACATGAGAATAAATTCCTCGAAGATCAATCCATAATTCAAGCAGGATTTATTGGCGAGCATACCTTGAAGAGAAAGGGGACACTGGGGCCCCATTTTTGCAAAACCTTATCACCAATTACACAGGGGTTTTGCTCAGTCTAATCCTTCAAATTCACTGAATTACACCTATTACCACTACGTACCATGACTCCCATTCGGCCTCCATTCTCTCCCTGACCCACCACCACTTGCGCCACCACCGCGTAGGAGGGCCCGGACTCATGGGTCCACCCCATAAATATTCATTTGCTGAAAATACAATGATTTAGGGGAAAACCCTAAAACCTACCGGAGATGGAGAAGTCGGAGAACCCGAATGATTTAGGGGAAAACCCTAAAACCTACCGGAGACGGAGAACTCGGAGTCTCCGGAGAACCCGACTCGCCGCGGTTCGTGGAGAGAAGAAGAAGAAAGTGGTGGAAAGGAGGAGGAGAAGGCGGTGGAGAGGAGAAGGGTATCGCTTGAATGAAGCGAGATCAGGGTTAAGTGAAAGAGAGAATGACTACCCAAGAGTCAAAGTTGCTTTTATTCGGTCCTTTTTGCTCACCCAAACGGCGTCGTATATAAGGGATTTTTAATAAAATAAAATAAAAAATAATGATTAATTAATGGCAACGTGCAATGCATGTTGCCAAAACTATTAATGGCAACGTTCATTTGAACGTTGCCAAAACTACTAATGGAAACGTGCATTGCACGTTGCCTAATGCACGTTGCCAAATCTATTAATGGCAACGTTCATTTGAACGTTGCCAAAACTAGTAATGGCAACGTGCAATTGCACGTTGCCATTAATTAATCTACTGCAACGCGCATTGCACATTGCAAATTGGATCGTGAACGTTGCGAAAAAGTGTATTAGCAACATTCATTAAGAAAACGTTGCCAAAACGCAATTTTGTCAACCAATAGCAACATACATTTGCTGAATGTTGCCATAGACCCCTTTTAGCAACATGCAATTGATGAATGTTGCCTTTTGCATGTTGCAAAAGGCCTTTTTTCTTGTAGTGTCTCCATGACATTCACACCGAGAACATATCTCTAAGTGAATCCTTTCAAGTGGCTGTAGTCATTGAAAAACTATCACCCATGCGGAAGGACTTCAAGAATTATCTTAAGCACAAGTGTAAAGAGATAAATAATGAAGAATTCTGATTGAGAATTGAAGTAGACAACAGAAAGTCGGATAAGAAAAATAGAAGTCATATACTATGAGAGAAGGCCAATGTGGTGGAAACAAATGATAAGACCAAAAAGAGGAAACAATCGTTGGAATCCTTCAAGCAAGGACACAACAAGAATACAAAAAAGTTCAAGGGTAATTGCTACAATTGTAGAAAGGCCGAAAATAGCTCCAACGAATGTCGTTAACCAAAAAAGCAAGCACAAGTAAATGTCACCGAATCTGATGCATTATCTAATGGTATATTAGACATCAACTTGTTGTTACAACAAAATCTTATGTTGTTGTAACGAAATCCCATGGAATGGTGGGTAGACACAAGTGGGTCTCACCACATTTGTGCTGATAAGGCAATGTTCTCTTCATATAATCCAACGAATGGTAAGAAGTTGTTCATGGGAAACTTTTCAAGTTCTAAGGTTGAAGGACAAAGTGGTATTGAAGATGACATCCGGCAAGGAATTCAAATTTAACAGTGTGCTTCATTTGTCGGACATTTGCTATAACTTAGTTTCAAGTTCTTTGCTTAGCAAGAATTGCTTCAAATTAGTCTCTGTATCGGATAAAGTTATACTTACCAAAGATAATATGTTTCTAAGCAAAGGCTATATAAGTGATGGTCTATTCAATATAAATCTCCTCATTATTGTTCCGAATAGTTCGAAAAATAAAATATGTTCCTCTGCATATACTCTTGAGTCGTCTAATTTATGACATCATAAGTTAGGACATGCAAACTTTACTTCTGCACGCAAGTTAATGAATTTAAGTTTACTACCAACTATGAATTTTAATAAAAATGGTAAATGCGAGATTTGTGTAGGGGCTAAGTTAGCTAAAACGTCATTTCATTCGGTTGAAAGAAACACGACACCTTTGGAATTAATTCACTGCGATATATGTAACATGAAATTTTTTCAATTCTTGAAAGGTGGTAAAAAGTAATAAATTTTTATTTTGATGTGATACGGTCGATGATTCTATTGATTACCATTTTCTATTTTAACTTTTTATGATTATTCTTGTAAAAACCCTATCAATATTTTGTCTAAAACTTCAAACTTGTTTGAGTACCCTCTTATTGAACAACCGGTAGATTTTAAAGTACGTTAATCTTTTATAGTTTTTTGTATTCACTTCAATGTA